GGTATTAAAATGTTTACATAACTATGCAAAAAGCAAACAAGTCAGTGGTGTACAAATTTTTTTCGAAAATTTTCTTTAAAACATTCCTTTACTCAACCTGATAAACCAATATTATTTCTCTTTAAATTTCTTTTATAATTCAAATTTGAATAGGATTTCTGGACAACTATATAAATAAATAAAATTTTCACACCCTCAATCTACGAAAGGAAGCTTTTAAGGACCTAATTTAATAAAAGTTTTTTTCTTAATTATAAAATATTTTTTTCTAGAAGACGCTCTATAATTAAAGTGTATGAAACCGAAATATAACAGACAAACGAAATGCAGGCAATCGCGGATAAATTTGGACGAAAGCAGACGTGTGCGGTTAAAAACGGGCAAAAACAGACGTTTGCAGATGAAAACAGACGTAAGAAGGTGAAAGCAGAGTAGATAAAACTGAATGCCGGCGATCACGGATGATTGCAGATGATTGCAGGAGTGCACTAACCGGATGAAAGACAGGTATAACCAGGCGTTCGCAGACGAAGCAAAGCAGGCGTTCGCAGGTAAAAGCAGACGTTTTCGGGTGAAACCGGATGAAAGTAGACGTTCGCAGGTGTAAGTTTTCGGGTGAAAACAGGCAAAAGCAAACATTTGCGGGTAAAAACCGGACGAAAGACAGGTATAACCGGGTGTTCGCGGACGAAGCGAACCAGGCGTTTGCAGGTAAAAGCAGACGTTTGCGGGTGAAAACAGGCAAAAGCAGACGTTCACAGACGAAAGCCAACGTTTCCGAATAAAACCGGGTAAAAGTAGATAAAACTGAATGCCGGCGATCGCGGATGATTGCAGATGATTGCGGAAGTACACTAACCGGACGAAAGACAGGAATAACCGGGCGTTCGCGGATAAAGTTAAGCAGGCGTTCGCGGGTATGGGCGGATAAGATTTTCACCCGCAATCACCCGGTTTTGACGCATATTTAATTCGGAATTTACGCCTGCAATCACCCGGCTTTTTCAGCAGGGCAATTATATCGGGCCATTTTTTTTATATAATTATATATAATTTTATACAATTATACAATCTTATTTATCGGATAACTTGATTTAATGTATTTTTGTTGTAAATTACCTAAAAGGTATTAAATATTAAAAATATTCTTTGTTTTTGAGGTTATGATTTTGTTATTGTTTTGTAGTTTTGCTCTTCTTATTCTTCTTATGTTTATGTCATTTTTCGTTTTTAAAGTTTTTATGGTTAACTTTAAGGAGAGTGCTTCTAGGGATTTGAATCCCCTTATCGTCCCGTTTGGCCACGGCGCACATACGTAGATTTAATTAATTTAGGCGGCCAAAAGTAAAAAAAAATAAAAATAAATCTAGCAATTACATATTGACTACCACAGGTAGCAAACACTTCTAGGAACAGTACCCTACCCTTTCTATGCGTTGCAGCGCTCTGAATCGCAGGTAATTGGAGTTTGATAGTCGCTGTCACGGATGTTCTCAGCGCAGCGCTCCTAGCGTAACATCTCTTGCAAAGTGAATATTTTTCTCTCCAAGTCAATTATTAAAGTAAAACTGATGGATTCTAATAATTCAGGTATGTATCTATAAATTGTTATATAATACTTCCTATTTGAATATAGATTCAAACATTTTTTAATCATTTAAATACAACAAAATTTGCAAAATTTTGGCAAATCTAAGATTTATAAACATTTTTAACATACTTTAGGGTTCGTCCCTAATATTTTATCTATTTTAATAAATTTGACATAGTCTTACAGAAAAAATCAGCCGCGGAATCTCGCAGATGACCACAAAAACGTAAATCAAAGATTTTTAAGGAAAATTTAAAAATAATACACAAAAAATGGGCTTGTACTGTTCCTAATCCCACCGATTCAATTGTAATTATTAAATGATGTATGTACACTTATAATATAAGATACAATGTAATTAAATAAGTATATTGCTGCTATTTCAATAACGAAATTAGGATTTGTATTTATGTAATGGCTTCTTTTTTTTCATAGTTTTATTAAATAATATTGAATTTTAAAACCAATATTTTTTTATATTTTAAACTCTATTAAAACTCTATTTCGAACCTGTCTGAACTAAAAAATATTTTTGGCCGCCTAAATTACTTAATTAAATCTACGTGCCGTTTTTATTTATTTTTAAAAACTTTTTATTTTTGAAACTTTTATGACGACAATTTGTTAAAAACATCTCGAACAATTCAAATAATTCTGTTTTGATTTTATTACACCTCAAAGTAGAATTTTAAAACAGTAAAATTACGCACACATTTAATAAACCATATTTTTTAATCGGACAAAAAAATTTATATTTATTATTTATATATGTTTAAAGCACACCTATATAAAAATTGCCATTTTATTAAAAAATTATTTAAAAATTAAAAGTTATAACCTTTTAAAAAATCATTGCTAAAATTAAGAAAAAAAATCATATAGGCATTTAACTCGATTCATCGGGTGATCTCTACGTAAGGTTGTTCAGTAAACTTTACTTTATATGCACACAAAAAATTAGCTACATATACGTGCATATGGATAAGTTTTGTTTTTTTATTTATCGCGCTGCATGGTTAAATCGCGGTAGCTCGTAACTAATTAAGGCATTGTCTACGCACTCAAGATTTTCGAACCTTTAGAATCTAAAGGTTTGAAAATCTTGAGATCTAAAGTTTAGATCTATGCTCATAGGTTTTAGTTGAATTTATTTAGTATTATAAATATTTAAACAAGTATTACATTTTCTATTTTGTTTATAATATTATCAAAAAATATATACAAAGTACCTACCTAGGTTTATTAATTAATTACCAACTCAAAACAAATTATTGGGTAAAAAATTATTCGCTTTCATAGGTATATATATTATTACCTTAAAAATGATATAGGATTTGTAAGGTAATAATATGAGTATAAGTATGGGGACGTATGGCAGGCCTTACAGTGTCGATGGTTAAGGCCACTCCCGGATTTTTGTCGCCGGGTCGGGCCATACGCCGAGTTTTGGCTAGTGGAGAGCGGGATAAGGAGGGTAAAAAATGGTTTTTGGAGGAAATTGAACTTACCCAAAACTAAGTACAATCTGGAATCCTCCTCAACCGGGGCTTTAGTAATAACCCCATTCAATTGGGATTCATGAATGGGGGTAGGAGTGTTAGTAGGCTGCTAGAATCTGTCCTTGTTGGTGTACTTCTGAACGTATCTGTCCGAAGTGCCCCCTGCCTTCGTGGATATTCCACTTGCCGAGTACCGGCTACCGACCTTGTATATTTTTTATTTGTTTTATTGTTAAATTAGTGTTTATACTGTTTGCATTTAATTTATATCTTTGCATTCCTCCTTTTTTTAAGTTTAAAAATACTATTATAAATATTTATATACAAAATAGATAAATCCGGCCCTGAAGTGTACGTAATAATTTGGAATATTGTCAGGCCTTGGCTGAGAGTCGCGCTTTTTATCTTCTGTGATGTTGTGATGTTTATGTGCTCGTTTACTTTTTGGTTTTTGTTTATTTAAAGCTTTGATTTATTAGCTGATCTCTTAGTTAGTGCTTATATTTAATTGCATTTACATACAATGTATACACCTATTAAACACACACAACACTTATTTATAAAATTCTATATTTTGTGTCGTTCATGCTTGATTTGGTTTATTTACTCTTACGCCTTTTTCTATTTGGTTAAGTTGAATATGGATTGGCTACACTGAGAAAAATGAGGTTGTTTGTTTAACACTTACGGAAATGTTATTATTTTCGTTGATTAAAAATTATTTTTTCTTTTATTTTAACAAATAAAAAGAAATCTTAAACAAACATTTAGAGGTTGTTGTACAAGAGTGCTTATATCAAAGATTTTATTTATTAAATTAATGTCTGAACTGCATTAATTAAAATCTTTGTACAATTTTTGTAGTAATAAAAATGTATATTCAATCTTTACGAGTTTAACTGTATTAGTAACGTGACTTTTAAATAAAAAAATTATGCACATTGGTTTTTTGTGCAAAAACTGTTCAGTTAATAATTAAATCTTAAAATAAGAGTTTACTTTTCTCAGTGTAGGGACCTGTTTGTTTTCTGAAGCCAGTTAGCGTATATATGGTTTTAAAAATTAGTTTATTGATTAGAATCGAATTGGTAATGTTTTGAGGTCATGCAATTAGGAAAATTACTTAGCTGGACTAATAAGGCTTGAAATTCTTTTACCCTGTCCCTAGCGGCAGTCCGTGTTTGCCGGTTGTGGTGACCGACCAGGTAGTCGAGTAACCAGGTGGCTTTTCGGAGTGACCTAACCTTAATCACTCACTCTCACACAAACTTTTGCGACGTTATAGCACTTTGTGACTTAAACAGGAACCGGTACTTTTCGAACTTATTATTATTTTTTCTTGTTTATTTAATTTTTATTTATTGTTTTCCGTTTTACTGATTTTGATCACTTGCATCCGATAACTTGACGGGTTATCAGATTCGTTATTAGGACTTTGAAAGCAAATTTAAGTTGGACTATTACATTTTGAGATTCTTCAAAATGAGTACTTTCTCCGTTTCTTTAGAGTTTTTAACAGAACTATTTTTAAATAGTGACAAAGACGTCAGTCTATTTTCTGAAAATTTAAAGAGAAGAATTCCAATTTTGAATGAAAATCAATTCAAACTTGTTATGGAAAAAATTAAACCGAACTTTTTATATAAGTTTAAGACCAAGTGGTTGTTATTATATCCGTGTTTAAATAACTTTAAAATTAAAAATTAAGAATGGTTAACAAACAAAATAATAATTGAATTTAATAAAGATTTATCACAACCAAGTCCATCGGGTGTAGGAAGACCAAAGAAGCATTTTTTGGATTGTGCTTAACGTTCTAAAAGGCTTAAGGTTAAACTTTTACAAATCCATTTAATCAGACCTTTTATCCGCAACTGCGAAATTCCCCGAAAATTTTGAAAAGAAAATGTATGCCAACGGAACAGGCTTTGGCGTTGATAAGGGATGCCCAATTGTCAAAGCATCAATATGAAGCATTTAGAAATGCCGTTAAGGATTTTGAATATGATATTTTACCACCTTATTATAAAGTTTTTATAGCCAAAAAAGAGTGCTACCCAGATAAAATGGTAATTACTGAAAGAAGTGCCCGTGTAGATTTGCAATGTCTTGTAGATCATACCGCAAAGCGAATTTTGGAAGATATCGATATTGATGTAGAAGATAATACAGAGTTACTTTTAGTTAGTAAGTGGGGATGTGATGGTGCTTTCGGGCAATCTGAATACAATCAAAAATATGTACGAGGTGATAATCAGGAAACATCAGATAGTAGCATCTACATGGTATCCATGGTGCCTTTACTATTTAGAACTGGCTTTGACTCAACAATTTGGAACAATGATTTGCCTTCATCTACGAGATGGTGCCGCCCTATCTATTTTGAATTTGTAAAAGAGTCCGCTGAAAAAGTTTTTGATGTTTCCAACAAAATAACTAACAAAATTTCCCAGCTAAAAAAAACAGAAGTAACAATATCCGGAAAAATTGCTCTGTTAAACACAACATGAAATTTACCATGATTGATGGAAAAATTATAATAAAAACTCCTTCTGCTTCTACATATTTTATATGTAAAGCAAATCCGACAGAAATTAACAATTTACAAAATGTTGTCCATAAGAAGCTCTTCAATTTGGATTATCTCCTTTACATGCATTAAGTTTATGGAATGTTTATTACATATTGCCTACAATTTACCATTAAAAAAATAAAGAGCCAAAAATGATCTGCATGATTAAGGAATTTAGATCAAAAATGGGTTTAATAATAGACGTTGTTAAAACCGGCTCAGGTAATTTTTTCAAAATCCAACCTTAGTTGCAGAGATATACGTACTTCGAGATGAAGTTAAGGAATTTTTAATATAATTTATTTAGTTTTTTTTTATATTTTTTAATGATTAAAACAACTAGAAGAAGTGTTTTTACAATATAACATACTGTTATAATATATCTATATTTATAATATTATGGCATATTAAAGAACTAATGTCATCTTTTGATTTTTGACTTTACAAACTTGTGGATTCCATAACCTCAAAAAGATTGAAGTTTGTAGTATGTGTTTATTCACCAATTACTGGGCGAGTACAAGGATGATCCTTGATCTTGCTCACTTCCCAGTTCTTAATGAACAATGTTGAGATACCAAAATAAAACCAAATGGAATTCGTTTTGGAACTGATTTTTATTAAAAACTTATTGGGTTATATACAAATTTACAATATAAACAAAACAGTAGTTCTAAACATTTAAAATAAAACAATATATAAAATTAAATAACAATAACAAAAAACACATGCATCTTCGTTGTGGAACTGCTGGTTGCCGCAATTGGTGCACTGCTGCGTAAGGTGTTCTCGTTTAATTACCTGCTGCTATACGCAACTTTGCACATTCCTGCATTTTTGATAGTAACCTTTCTTAAACTCAAATTCTATTAAAATTTTTTTCTGTTTAATTTTTAATTAAACATATTGGCGACTCCACAAGAGATTGGGAGTTGGTGGTCTCTGTTTAATCTTGTGATTAAACATATTGCGACCAGCACCAGAGTGTCCGGCTCGAAGGACCATGTTTGTTCACCAATCACTGGGCGAGTACAAAGATGATCCTTGATCTTGCTCACTTCCCAGTTCTTAATGAACAATGTTGAGATACCAAAATAAAACCAAATGGAATTTGTTTTGGAACTGATTTTTATTAAAAACTTATTGGGTTATATACAAATTTACAATATAAACAAAACAGTAGTTCTAAACATTTAAAATAAAACAATATATAAAATTAAATAACAATAACAAAAAACACATGCATCTTTGTTGTGGAACTGCTGGTTGCCGCAATGGGGTAGTTAAATTTTTTCTGACCTATACTTTTTATGGTTTTATTCAAGGCGTTTTGTAATATTAAACATTTCTGTGAAATCAGAATTTCAATTGAGTTTACCGTTTTCGAGATATTTACAAAAAATATAAATTTTTATGACGTCACAAACCCCGTCATGTGACCAACATTCTAAGATTTCTATTGGTTGAAAATTACCCTGTTGTCAAGTTGTCTTGTTAATGATTTCATTCGGTTATGTCAGAAAATACCCGAAGAGGTTATGTACAAATACTGTCACTGTCAGTTGAGTGAAAGAAGAAGAAGAGAAGGTTAAAGAAAATTCTGAAATTAAAAGTTTTATTGATAGGTTTACACATTGAAACACCGTGTGAAACCTAATAAAATGTAATAAATAGGTACCTAATAACTGTCTAAAGCAGAGTTTAAACTCTGCTTTAGACAGTTATTAGGTACCTATTTATTACATTTTATTAGGTTTCACACGGTGTTTCAATGTGTAAACCTATCAATAAAACTTTTAATTTCAGAATTTTCTTTAACCTTCTCTTCTTAAACTCTAATTTAACTAATTTAACTAATTTATTTCATAGAAAAAAGTGGCAAAATAAAGCTGAAAATGAATGAAATAAATTTACAAAAAATAATAATATATCTAAAAGAATATAAAGAACTAGGCATTATACCAATGAAATGCATTTACGACAAAATATGATTATAATTATAGGTACTTACTTTTTTTGTTTAAAAGCTCCAATGTTCAATGTAACCAACCATTCCACAAGATTTCTCTGCTTTGGAGTCCGTTATTAATAAATCACTTATCTAATATCAATTACAAATAACATAACAATAACATTGATTTTCAATAATCTAAATTTAAAAAAAACAACCCGAAAAAAAGAAACGTCAAAAAATCAATTCTTCTTCTCAACTAAAATATTATAACGTCGCGCCATCTATCGTAAACTAAACACACTGGCAACCATAGAAAAAGCTGGCAACGTTGTCAATAGCCTAGTGACGTAATTAGGAGATTTTGTTTTGTAAATATCTCGAAAACGGTAAACTCAATTGAAATTCCGATTTCACAGAAATGTTTAAAATTACAAAACGCCTTGAATAAAACCATACAAAGTATAGGTCAGAAAAAATTTAACTACCCCATTGGTGCACTGCTGCGTAAGGTGTTCTCATTTAATTACCTGCTGCTATACGCAACTTTGCACATTCCTGCATTTTTTATAGTAACCTTTTTAAACTCAAATTCTATTAATAATTTTTTCTGTTTAATTTTTAATTAAAGATTATGTTTTTATTCTTTTTATTCAATTCAATTTTATTAACATTTTAAAAATAAAAAAAACATCATAAAAATTACATTTTTAAGATATTTTAACATTAAACCCAAAAAATATTTATAATATTATGGTATATTAAAGAACTAATGTCATCTTTTGATTTTTGACTTTTCAAACTTGTGGTTTCCATAACCTCAAAAAGATTGAAGTTTGTAGTATCTTTTTATCCTTTTTATTCGATTCAATTTTATTAACATTTTAAAAATAAAAAAACATAATAAAAATTACATTTTTAAGTTATTTTAACATTAAACCCAAGAAACTGGATACTTTAATATTGTTCTTTAATTAATTTAGAAGGTATGTTTTAGTCTGTCACCTAATCCTAGGGATTGTGTGTGATTAAACCACTTGAGTTTAATTTGTATAATGTAATACAATTGATTTTGCGACAAATATTTCTGATATTTTCTGAGAGGAAATCAAAAGCAGGGATGCAGACGAGAAACATTGTAAGTTACAATTTGTAACCAAAATAATGAAAGGAAGGCAACAAAAAAGGAATGTATATGTTGGGGTATGCTTTTACATGTCCAATTGTTGTGAGTAAAGAACATTTGGTTTGCCGAATCAAAGAAGACCTGTGACCCGAATGATTGCGGAGTTATCTGCCACCGCGGTGTTTGATCGAGATATGGCGTTTCCTGTTGAAGCCTGCTCGTCGACTTGTATTGGGGTTAAAACAAAACCCCGTCTTTTAGAATCCACTCTTCAAATTAACAATCTTGTTAAAAAGGTTAAAACCATATAATGTATTGTGATGGGCACGACGGGGTAGTACACAGCAAACGGAAAAATATAGAAGTGTATTGGATGACGCCACGTTTGAATACAGTTTTCTAAATCTCGCCACGGTATATTTTTGTATTCGTCAGTCGAGCGTGTCACAGTATAGAGGTCGTAATTTGACTTTTGAACTAGTATTAATATAAAAATTATTTTATGCTTGAAAAAAAAATTGTATACGACATGATTATGATTTTTTTTATTTTATTAATTAATTGTTGAATATTTTTCCTTAAAAGGAATAATTCATTAATTCATTTGTTCGTAGATGCTACAATAACTTGCACTGGTGTGTACTTTTTGATCAACCAGATTTAAATATTGCTGTACTAACATATACCAGTGGAGATAGTGCACGGTCTACCAACAGACCTCATTACTAAAATAAAACTTTAATTATTAAAGTTTAATAGCATATCGTTTTTTTAACATAACCTCTGAAATAATTAATACAAATACAGGGTGATTCAAAACTCGAGGCAAAAAATTAAGAAATGTATACAGTTTTATATTGTTAATAAAAAATCTAAAATAAAATTTTTGGAGATATGGTTTTGTTTGTGACCAATTTGATTTCATAAATTACAGTCAACAAAAATTGTTTACAAATTATAAAGTTGCTTTGTTGGATTAGTTGTTTTGTTAATGATGTAGTTTCCTAACGAATAATATCAGATATTATTTTTGTGTACGGTTTTTGTGATGGATTCCCTAATAAACGACAACCATCTCGCCGGGTGTTTTCCGACGCTTATCAACAACAGTTTGGAATTGGTACTGGTGCTGGTGGTGCTACCAGAAATAATTATTATGATGCTGTGAGGTAAGAAGAAGTGATAGATTGTGTGCTCGATAATCCATTGCTGCCCGTATTAATGTATCCCAAAGTTTTGCTTGGAGACCCTTAAAACCCGAAGTTTTAAATCCATTTCATAAACAAAAAGTACATAATTTGCACTCAGGAGATAACATGCAAAGACTCGCCTTTTGTCAATGGCTTCTTCAGCAGCATGAACAAAATGAAAATTTCTTCAGAGAGACGCTTTGGTCGGACGAAGCTACTTTTACTCGGGATGGCATAAATACCTACACGTATGGTCTTTAGAAAATCCTCACGCTTTTAAAAGAAGAAGTTTTCAACAAAGGTTCTCTATTATGGGGCGGAGTCTTTAACGGACAATTACTTCCGATTCAAGTCCTTCCTAATCGTTTGGATACATATGCGTACTTACAATTTTTAGAAAACGATCTCACAAATTTGCTGGAAGATTTTCCTGTGGATTTGGTATACAATCGTATGTGATATCAGCACGACGGAGCACCACCGCATGTTGGACGAAATGTTGTCGCCTGGTTAAACCAAACTTTTAATGGGAGATGGATTGGTCGGCGTGGTAAGGTGCTATGGCCTGCGAGATCACCTGACTTGAACCCTTTGGACTATTTTGTATGGGGCCATTTAAAACAACTGGTTTACGCAGTGGAAATTAATAACCAAGAACAATTAATGGAACA